TTTGTCCAGTTTCCAGATGCAACTACTCTTTTGCTTTTTATTAATCCATATTTCTTGCATGTATTGTCAAATTGTAGGCAGTTGTTGGTAGAGGAGAAGGAAGGTCTTCTTGGAGACATAACATTTTTGCAGGTACAACTGATGTGTCCTATCATGTTGTGATACTTTACCCCTAACTTCTAAAAGTGATTAACATGTAACTTCTCCCTATAATATCCATACATCATCCAGCAAACAAGTAATGAGAATACTGAAACTTTCTAGGTAGCAGTTGTTATCTTGACCTGATGCCAAAATTCTCACAACTTATTTAAAAGAAATCTCTGAATATAGAAATCCAAAATGTTGACACACTTTCCCTGTTTAAGTCTAATATGTAAACGTTACTCCTAAGTTGAATCCCTTCTTTTCTTAAGCTGCTTAAGTATTATGTTTGTTCATAGTTAATAGTTTGAGTGCCTGCTATTGTTTGTCATTTATTTTGTATGTGTGTGTGTGTTCTTTCCTTTTTAACCTAAAATATTTGTACCCAGATCAAGTCAAAAAACTGATACCAAGGAGGTGGCGTGGCCGAGTGGTCAATGCGTCAGACTCACAATCCACTACTCCCAGGTTCGAGACCCACCCTGACCACTACCTGGATTTGTTTCACGGAAGCTCCGAGTTCAAATCCTCGGCCATCCTTGTAAATAGCCAACTGGCTTGCCTCCAGCCATTTGGGATTCTTAATGACAATGTTCAATTTGAAAGATTTGTTTCAGTTGTTTGCTCGCCCCCACTAGCACTTGTGCTATAAACACTGCCGAGGGTAAATAAAAGCTTTTTTATTTGTATATATTTTTTTACCTCACTGTCGTAAAATATGAGGAGCCTGTAGCTTGCATAAGCCTTTTGGTTTCCTCACAGGTTTCCTCACCACGCGTTAAAACTTCAGTTGTATTATATTAATGTATATGTAATTCCTTTTATTTCTACTGATGTATCATAAATTACAAAATGGCAAATGAATAAGACATTCAATTCAAATTCAATTCAAGAAAATATGCAGCAGCTAGAGGTAAGAATTTATAATCAGTTCTAATGGGAGTTCAANTAGTTGTAAAACAATCGCTTGTGAAAGGAAACTTTGATATAACAATGTATGACTTACTTTCTGTCGATAAGATATAATGAAAATGATTAAGGTAGCAAGGAACGCGTATTGTCTTTACGCAAAGAATTCTTATTATGCCTAGCACCTCGATGTTTCACGGGGCAACTGTAGTATATAAGGAATACCATTTCAACTTTGTTGATATATCCAAATTATTTCGTTACACCCACCGACGCAGCCCCAAACAGTTTCTTTCGGAACCATCAGCCTTTATAAGGAATACTGTTTAGTCCCGCTAAAAGATAACTCGCATTGAACCATCTCCCCTGAATTTCCATGTGCGAACGACTTAGCGTGTATATCGTGACAAATTAGTTGCATTTTAGCAAGGTTTCCAGTTGAGCAAAGTAGCGAAGACTGATTGTCACCAGCGCACCTGGAATTCTAAGTTTCCAGGAAAATATTATCATAATTTATGCTGACATGATTTTTCCGACAATCAACTCTGCTATTCAAATAACTGATTATCACGCAAGCTCGTAAACAGTTTCAGAGAGAAGACATTGAAAGGAGATTAGCGTAATCAACAAAGAGTAATTCGTGCTTTACGAATTCATGCCCGCTCCCTTACAATACGTGAGTAACTTACCGTGTTTATCTATCTCCTATTTGTACTATATACAGAGATAAGGTGGAATAACTATTTGCCTTGATATCAAGACCTTTTTCAAAGGTAAAAATAGTCAAGGTCGGTTATTTACACGAGGTCTCAACCAAACCGCGTATTTACGCAAGCAGTGGGCCTTACGTACGTATTTTCTATAAGTGGTAAGTTTTCATTCAATGAACGTCCTTTCACTGCTAGCTTTCGGCTCTCCTAACACTCCTCAAAAAAACAAAGGTTCGGCTAAATTTCAGATGGCCTTGAACGCGGTTCTGATAAACAATGGCTAAACTTTGTTCCAATGACCGGCCCTCAGTCTCTAAAACCAATCCGCATTGGAAAAAGCAATCTGGCAGACGTCTAAATTTGGCCATTTGGAGGTTAACGATATTTCTTTTCCGAATGACGGCTTATTACGAGACATAACGTGGCAAATTTCAGGGTCTTCTTCAATACGAAAACCAAAAGATTCAGGAATCGTATAAGTAGTTTATCAATGCTTTTTCTCCCCACAGGAGATTGGAGCGGCTAACATACCAGAAAATTTATTTTGTTGTTGCTGTCGTTTTTGTTGTGATTGTTTCCTTTTGTTTGGCAGATATCTCTTCCCTGACAATGCAGCACAACCCCGTCAATAAATTCCAAAATCCACTCTTCTGTAACTTAAAAAACGGCATTTAATACAAAAGCAATTACAAAGAAAGTGAAAAACAGGTCAATACAACAATTGGAGTGACCTGATA